TTTGATGCAATTTTGATTTTTGTGTGTGTGTTGAATAAGCCAATCTCAAGCAGCATTTGTAAATTGCCTATACGTAGTGAGATTTACAATTGTACATTTCAAAACACAAATAAAGTCTCCATTATATTTTTCGATGTACAAATCTCGACGTCTTATTGGGTTTGTGTTTGTGTTTAGTTCCTACAAACCTAATGGATGTGGCAAAGACCCAGTTCGTCCTGCTCAACCATTCTTCATCTTTGTGGTGCCCGGCGGAAGGTGGACCGGCTCCTCGTATTGTCTGGAGAAGGAATGGTGCTGTTGTGCAGAACGGCACTGGTGTGCGACTCCGAATCACTGTTACTAAAGAAGAAAGAAATACAAAATACAGCTGCGAGGTGGACGACCATGGTCAGTTGAAGAGGATTAACATCAGTCTTGTTGTCGAGAGTAAGTTTCAGGTTACATTTTACTTTAAGAAGAGCTCAGCTGTTGTTTATGCTTAAATTAACCTTACGATTTGTCTTTAATTTGTTTTAGAGTGGAATTGTCTACAGTTTTTATGTAAGGGTAATCTCACAAATAATATTTATCAAGTAAATCAATTTCAATTGCAGCGTAGTTTCATATCTCGAACAAAAAAGTTACTCGCTACGTTATTTTTAATGATTTTGCGTTTAATTGCTGTGCAGGTTACTGGTTGCTTAGAGCGGCGTTTATTCGTATCATTAACGAAAAGAGAAGTACATGTAAAAGAAGACTTTGTCCAAAAAAGGCTAAGCTTTTAAATTTACTTTAGTGTAAAAAATTACTTCTCTGTTCGAAATGGTAATAGCTTTTTTCATTTCTATTTCACTCTTATTTTCGATTAACGAATTTGGAAGTGAAAGTGAATGATTTATTGCAAACATGTTGCATGCGAGTTCAAAGAGTAAGCCCATGTTTCTCACCAAAACGAGACGGTGAATGACATTTTGAAATATGTTTCTGTTTTGTCCTGTGTTTTTCTTTGTTTGAGTGTTACTCCTAATGGCCGTAACCAGACTTCAGAAAAAGACAAGGCAAGTTTCGGGTCTGACATGCCCCCCCCCCCAGAAAATGTTGAAATCTAGAGGCTCAGAAATACCCTCTTAAGCATTTTCTGTGGCATTTTTCTCCAGAAAAGTCAATATTGTGCAAGTGTAGAAGTTCACTTTCTTATTGCTGAGCGATGCTGGTACCCAAAAAGAGGCCAAAATCAAGACGAGGCAATTGCCTCGTTTTGCCTCATGCTAGCTAGGACCCACTCCTGAGAAAACA